TTACTGCATGGATGCACTTGCCTACAAGACCTATCTTGGGAGTCAATCAGCAGCATTCTGAAGGACAAACATAATTCCTTAGTTCTGGATACACTTGGGTAAAAAGAGCAGTTGCTGGGGAGAGGACCAGGAAAAGGAACATTTTGTTACACAGAATCAGCTCTGGCTCCTGCCCCACCCCACCTGGGGTAAGCCCTGCACACCTCCCCCTGCCAGGGGAACTCTTTGATAAGAGGAGCAAAGAGTTTTCGACTTGCTATTTTGGAAATTACAGCTCCTTGTCATACAATTAAACGTCTGCCCACATTTTAAACCAAGCTACACGTCCAATTGGAAAACTGCTGTTGGGTTCTGCTCAGGACTGGGCTGAAAATTACCCCAAACTGGCTGAAATCCATAATTGCCTTTCCACTGCTCTGGGCCCGAGCACCAGAAGGTTTTCTGTACCAAAAGGACACAGGAGGGGAGTTACCAAAATCAGGTTGCCCATGATTATGGTGTCCTCATCTATTATTTTTAATTAAAGCCTTGGGGGAAGAGTTGGGGAAGTGTATTATACCCTGAGAGCCAGCTCCTCATGTCTGATGAGGAGTTAATGATAACCAAGCTATGGAAACAGATCCCCCCACTTCCCTACCTCTTTTCTGTAGAATAGGGATAATAAATAGGGCTCCTTACTCAGCTCACAGCTATAATAAGATTTCATTATTTCTCTAAACTGCTATGTGAAGCAGGTATCAACTCCCCAGCCTGCCTCAGAACTGTCAGCATACATGCTGTATGTACAATTTGGCCTAAGGAAAGTGTCCAACAGCCCCCCCAGAGCCAAATAAACATCCTTCTGTGAGCAGGGATCTTCTCTGTGAGGCTGTTTGGATGCGTCTCCTGCAGGGGCAGACCTGAATCGTTCTTGTTCTTTTGTTTGTGAAGAGGGAGAGGCCCGACGGGTCTGTTAACATGCCAAAGTCCTTTCACAGCTTGGTGGAGTTTTCTCTGCATCATTTGACTACTCGCATAGACTCCGTGCTGTATACATGAAATCACCCTTTATTTTGGGCTGTAGCTATTTATATTTGCTGGAGGAAGAGGAATGTGGAAAAAGAACAGGTTCTTTCCAGGCATCTGATTCAGAGAAGCTCAAGACTTCTCTTAATGGGATCAAGGCATTTTCCTGACCTCTGCAGAGCCCCGAGGGCAGCTCTCTCTATTTTACTGCACAGATTTAAGTCCTTGCACTACCAGCACGAAGCTCTCAGGACACACCTGCCCTGGCCTGGAAGGGGCTCGTCTACCCTGCACCATGAGAAAATAGCTCTGGGTTGGACTTATTGTTTTGATTTAAAGCAGGCTCAGAACTAAGCGAGACTTAAGACCAGCAGGACTCTGACTCTGTTTAGGATGCTTCTGTGGTGTGATTCCAGAAGCTCTTGCACCAAACCCCTTGCCCCAACGCCCTGAACGTGCCACACTCACACCTCTTACCTCTGCTGCAGGCCAGCGTGGGCACGCAGGGCTGGCTGGCTCCCAGGAGCTGCTGGAGCTGCTCTTCCCTCTTCAGGGCACACGGTGCCTTTCGTAACAGGGCCCAGCAGCCCTGGGGAGCCTCCCTGCTTCCTGGCTCAGCTGCTTTCTCCATCCTCCCATGCCTTGAAATAAATGATGTTTCCGCTTCCCTCTTCTGTGTGGTACAGAAGAAATATTGCAACAGAGCCTTCTTCTAAAAGGAAAAAAAAAATAACTTAAGAAATAATTAAGTCATTGCCACATGAAAACTCGGGTGAATCTGGTGGCTGCATCAGTTGCCAAAGTTTGCTGCAGGGTTTCTGCTTGGATATTTATAGTTACTCCACGAGGAGCACCTTGCAGAGCAGATAGAAGCCTGTGTGTGTTGGGGCTGAGCAAAGCCCTGTTTCTCAGAGAGAAAAGCTGTAATTCTAATAGGAAAGCCCCAAACTGGGGTGGTAACGAGTCACTGCAGTTCTCTCAGCTGTTTCTGCAGCCTGGGCAGGTGGGGTGCAGGGGGCTGGTGTCACCCAGCCCTGCACAGGGGGTTGCAGATGGAATAACTGGGCTCTTCTTTCCCTTCCCCCAGCAGAGGGGGTCCCCTCCACCTTGGAGGGGAGGGATGCTGCTGAAGGAAATGCCCCAGCAGCAGTTTCAGAGGTTTTGGTGTGAGGAGGGCAGCTGAGGTGGGGTGTGATGGGTGTTGTGGGGGCTTTAGCTTTACCCAGCCTCTAGGGCTTGACCTCAAGCTGCCTGGTGAAAGTTTCCAGCATTAGAGCCAGGGGGGATGAGCCTGCAGAGGGGCTCCATGCCTGCAGGGAGTGATGCCAGGAGGGGTGAAGGGGCAGCTGGAGCTGAGCTGGATGTGCAGAACAAGCCCCAGGGCTGCACATGACCTGGACATCCTCTCCTCTAGCAGGCAAATAACGCTTAGTGCTGAAGCTTCCCTTCTCCACTGGCTTTCTGCCCATCTTCACAAGAACCTCCTCACAGCGTGCAGCAGCAGGCGGCGACCTTTGGGTGTCTGGGAAAGCTTTGGTGATGAGGGAGCAGATCCCTGCTCCAGCAGCGAGCCACGAGGGAGCCGGGGCTTAACCTGAGCCGCACAAAAGCACCTCAGAGCACAACCCCGTGGTGGGGCAGCGCCTCCAGCAGCACCGGCGCAGGGTTTAATTAGGGTGTGCAAAGGCTGGGTCAGGGCTCCCCCGAAAGTCAGCGAGCAGCTATGCGGCAGAGCAGGATGTTGGATTAAGGCGAAACCCGCGCTGAGGACATCAGAGGCCAGCAGCCAAGCTGGGAAGTGAGTGAGCTGGGTGGCACCCAGCAGAGCTGCCCGCAGCCTTCTCTGGAGCAGGGTGCTGGTGCTGCCCAGCCCTGCGAGCTCAGGGTTCAGGGGAGGGGCCAGGGGCTCACCTGGAGCAGCCTTATCTCTGCCGGCGAGGAGTTAATGTGTAACCCAGCTCTGTTTGGTTAGCCCAGAAAAGCAAAGAAGTCCTGGGACAGGCACGGCCGGGACGAGGCTTGGGGCAGCACGGAACGACGGCCGGCCAGGTAACAACGAACTTGAATGCTCTGTATTTTCATCCTCTGCTTTCGAGGGGCCAGGGGCTCACCTGGAGCAGCCTTATCTCTGCCGGCGAGGAGTTAATGTGTAACCCAGCTCTGTTTGGTTAGCCCAGAAAAGCAAAGAAGTCCTGGGACAGGCACGGCCGGGACGAGGCTTGGGGCAGCACGGAACGACGGCCGGCCAGGTAACAACGAACTTGAATGCTCTGTATTTTCATCCTCTGCTTTCTGCCCTTCTCCTGCTGGAGGGGCTGAGCGCCTCTGCCCGGGTGGGACGTGGGGCTGCGGGGTCAGGGACCTGCTGTGCTTTGGAAGGGTGGTGGAGCTGTCACGGGAGGTGGCTCCAGGGAAGATGGACGAGGTGGTTTGAAGGTGGTGGTGGGAGGAAAACTGGGGAGACCAGAGGAGAGGCTGCAAAAACCTGAGCTCAGGAGGGCAAACAGCCCAGGCAGGGCAACTGCTCTGTGCTTGATTTACTTGTGTGCATAGGAGGAACTCTAGATCTGCTGCCACTGTCTCCTTTCACCCCGAGGTGGGATCTATCCTGCTGCAGGGCAGCAGCAGCTGGGACAGCAGCTGAAAATGGGGTTGAGTTTGGTTTTTTGTTCCCAGCTGGCCAGGACAAAGCCCTTTGCTGGCAGCTATAAGCAGAGGGGGCACGGCTGCTCTGCTTTAGCCAGCCTAAAACACTGAGGTTCTGCAGAGCTGCTGGGGAGCTGCAGTGGAGTGCTTGTAGTAGTACTGGGCTTAGAAGAAAGTAGCCTCTTCATATAAAGCAATTAGCATTAATTGCTGCCCAACAGCTCTTTGATGTTTGAGGGCTCGGGAGCTCTGTGAAGGACAGTTACAGCAGCTGCCACAAAAGCTGCACAAACTGGCTGGCCTTTTATTTTAGATAAAAATTAGCTTCTTCTGCAAGCAATTCGAGTGTTGAAAGCTACATGGCATTGAAAAAACAGCTTTTCAAGTCCCCTGTCTTTTCATTTAATTGCTCAGTCCTATTTTTAGTTTGTGCTGAACTGCCACGTTACTCAGAAAAAAGGGAAGGAACTTCACGTCCTTCTGAATCACAAAACCTGGGATTTTCAGCACTGATTTTACCACTTTTCCTGAGTCAGATGAAGGCGTTAGAGCTGTAATCGCATCAGAGAACCAGTGGGCAGGAAAACAAACTTCTTGTTCCTGCACAGATCCTCTCCAGCTTCCGAGGAGCTCTGGGCTGAACTTTGCCTCCCTGCAAGCTGGGGCTCGGCGGGTGCCCAAGCCTCGGCAGCTGCTTGATGTTTCCTCAAAGAGAGAGAGAGAGCAAATTACTTCTTCCAGCGGGCTGATGACAAGGGGCATCCTCGTGGAGAAATCAGCTCTGTCCAGAGCCCCTCCAGAGCAGAGCCAGGCTGCTGCTCCCCTTGCACAGCCAGCCCTGGCTCTGACCAGCTGCTCCAGCTGCAGGCGTCAAGTTTGAGCAAGACTTTGTCTTCCCCAGGAGTGTTTTGCTCTCTCAGATGTGTGTGGCAGGGCAGGAGGCAGTGAGGAGCACTGCAGCAATCCTGGCAGAGTGGGCAGTGGGCTCTTGCTGCTTGGAAGTAGATTCAGATTTCACTTGGAGGCTTGCAGGAGCCTAAAAACCTCCACTCTGCACCTGAATATTTGCAATCGCAGTGTCTCTTCTCCCCAACAGCTAAAAGTCATGGCTGTAAAGTTATCTGAACTCCAAGAACCAAGGGTATTGCTCTTTCAAACCCACCCCTTACTCCACTGTAATTTAAGCAGTAAATAATGCAAAGCTGAGACCCAACTATTAAACTCCTCCCGCGTGGAAGAGTTGGATCTGTCAGGGCGTGGGTGCTGAAATCTGATTTTTGTGGCATATTCCAATGACAAAGGAATTCTTTCAGGGTCTAACGCTCTGAACAAGCAGCCAGTTCTGCTCACTTATCTCTAGATCTTATTCCCTGATCCTGCCACAAGAAAGAAAAAAAAAAGCCACAGTGTGTTGCTGTGCCACGGGCAGGTTAGAGCACAAAGAGCTCCTCTGTCTGCCGAGGAGCAAATCCTCCTGCGTGGGCCCGTGTGTGTTGGGGGTGTGGATGTTTTGCCACTCTCAGCCCCCACAGCCACTTCTCTCTGGGGAAGGGGTGGTGTGTGTGAGGAGAACACGCAGTCCGTGCTCTGGGGAGGCTTTGGGGGGTCGATGCTTCACATCCAGAAGTCATTCTGCCTCTTGCAGGCTGCCCAGCCTCTCGGCTCAGCACGACCCTTGGCCATGCACCCGGGGAGGGTCTCCAGCCCCTCTGCCCCCAGGACCCTGCCTGGGGAAGGTCTCTCTGCTGGGAACCCCAGTGGCACCTGGTTTGGCAGGGGTATGGGCTGCACCCAGAAGGGCAGCAGGTCACAAGCTGCTCTTGTCACAGGGTCGTTGCCACAGGCAGAGGGGGACAGTCGGGTGTTGCTTGCACCCCAGGGTGGCTGGAGGCACGGCACATTGTTACAGCCCCCAGCAGTGCCCTGCTCCACCAGGCATGTGCCCAGACACCCCCAGGCATGACCTGAAGGCACAGGGGCACCTCCCCACAGCCAGGGCACCTCGTTGCCCTCAAGGAAGGCTGGCAGAGGAAGCTCTTTGCCAGGAGGAAGCTCTCAGCAGAGCAGGGTGGTGACTGAAGGGCAGCATTTCAGGACAGCGTGTTCAGAAGCTGGAGAGCACTTCAGCTGCATAGCTGGCAGCAGTGGGTGTGCCAGAGGGAAGAGGTTCCACCAGGCAGAGCTGGGCTGGGATCACTGCTGCTGATCCCAGCCTGAGCTGGGCTTACAACTTCTTCCTTCACTCGGGAACCACCTTATCCACACCTCTGGGATGATGAGGCACCACCAACACGAGGTAGTCATGGATAGGCAGTCCAGAGCTTTCTCTATTTACAGTTCTTTTGGGGAAACCTTCAGCTCCAAGGATGCTCTACAAAAGCCCAGCTGACCCTTCTCCTGGAGAGAGCAGCCTGAGGTGGAGCACATTGACATCCACCCAGCAGCTTCACAGCCCAGCTCTCCTCCCTTTGGCTGACCCTGTGCTCTCCCATCACCTCGGGAGGGTCTCGTGGCTTAACACCCTCCTGTCCTTCTGCTTCAGCTGGGACTCTGCCGCCCGTGCCGCACGCCCCAGCAGCCTGTGATATGCCCAGGAAGGAGCTGGGGATGGCTGGCTGCAACTCTGGCAGCTGTGACAGCATGGTCAGCACGGCCTCCAACCACTCACAGTGCGTAAGTAACTCTGGTGTGGCCAGCCTGGGCGTGGCAGGGGCTCAACTCCCCCCTCTCAGCAGCTCAGGAAGGATTTCAGCCAGATCTCTGCTTTCCATCGGTGCTTGGAAGCCCCTGAGGGCCCTGAGACAGCACCAGGCTAAGGGCAGTGCAGGAATCAAAGTAATTCCTGCCCCAAAGCACTCCCAACTTCCAGTCCTGCCACACGTGGGGCAGCGACCCAGAGCCTTGGCTCCTGCAAGGGCCCCTCTGGGAGGTGGCAGCGGGTGCCCAGCGGCTCCTGCACTCCCAAAGAGGCACAGGCAGAGGGGGCAGGTGCTGGGCAGGAGGAGCCTGGTGAGCTCCCCAGGGAGGGACTAGGCCAGTTGGATAACTGGGTCAGACTGGCTCCAACAAGGGTGACTTCACCTGGAAGAGGCAGCAAACCACACTCCTCCCAGCTGCCAGGAGATTAATTCCCTAGTTAAGGCAGAGATGAACTTGGGCCATGGGTGTAGATGTGTAATTTTTCCACTCTCTATCCATTAAAGCTTGTTTGTCTCCAAACACTGATTCCAAGATTGATGGGCTAATTATATCCTGTCTGATATGGAGCATAATTGATATGTGTAAGTGCAACGCTTAGCCCTGAACAGGTTTTCCATCTGATGTCTCACAAACCAGAGCCAAACCCTCTAAAATTTATTAGGGATGGAAAAACTGGTTGTGTTATTGCATGGTAAAAGATTTGGATAGCTGGCTCTCTGCAAAACAACTCCACCTGGGACAACTTCTCCTTCATGCTTGTTGATCCAATGCCCATTCCAACCTTCCCTGCACTTCAGTTTTGTCATGATATATTGCAGGCATCACTCTGTAACTTGGCACTTCCACAGCAATCGTCTCTCACGATACTTAAAATACAACAAAAATTAAACAGGATCTCTCTAGGAGGAAAAGGAGAAGGAGCATCCCCCCCAGATAACCCTGCAGGGTTTATGGTGTTTAGGCAGAGCTCTAACACTCAGCATTGCTGGCAGGTGTCTGTGCCTATAGAGCACCCATGTTACCCCCCTGCTCATGGCTCAAAGTAAAGCAAAGACCTAAAAAGCAGAGGCCAGGTTTCAAAATTAAAAATAACCCATCTTCTGATGCTCACAGATAAAAATGGCCTTAAGTGTCTATCTACATTTTTAGAGGAAGTTGTCTAGATTTCAATAACTCTAAGTACTGATTTTTGAGTAGCCACTGGCCAGGAGCTGTCTCAGGTCTCTCAAACTGCCAGGGCTGTGAATAAAACCACAACTCCATCCCCTACCTGTGCTGCTTTTTTCCAGAGTGATAACAGCTATGACTACTTATCAGTGGAAGAGAAAGAGGGTTTGATGTTCCTGGAGGAAACTATTGGCTCTCTGGATGCAGAAGCAGACAGTGGGGTCTCCACTGATGACACCGACTACGTGGAGCCCTCCAAGCTGCCTGGGACGTGGCGCAAGAGGGACTCTGCTGCCCCAGGTAGGAGCATCACCCCAGTTTGAGGCATGTGATAAGCTAAAGGCAGCTTGGTTTTGCCCTCTGGTGGGTAGGCAGTGAGGGAGGTGGGACACCAACTGCACCTTCCCAGTCCTTGTGTGCAGGAGCAGCCACTGGGCAAGGTCAGAGCATCTCTGCTCCTGCTCCCAACAGGCTTGCACAGATTAATGAGGCTCCTTGTTCACCGTGTGCTTTCTCAAATCCCAAGTACCTGACCTTTAGCAGAGACAGCGTATCAGCCAGGGTGGGGGGAACTCTCTGGGTGCAAGGCTCTGCCACGGCTGCGCTGGCTCAGCAGGCACCACGTTTTGTGAACAGGAAGGTGTCCTGTGTCTGGCTGCAGAACAGCGCATGACTTCACCTCTCTCTTTGCCTAGATTTGGAAAATGGGGCTGCCCCTGTGAGCGTGGGTCTGCAGCGTGCAGCTGAGCAGAGGAGTGGCAAGAGCAGCTCTGCCACCTCCGGCTGGGCTCCAGCTGCAGTTCCAAGCCCAGGCTACTACAGCCTTCCAAGGAGCATCACGGTGTCAAGTGGAGCTTCTGACAGCAAAGCAACTGTCCACGCAGTGGAGGACCCAGTGCCAGCAGATAAATCTTCACAGGAGATGCCCAAGGAGGACAGGCTTGACCAAGCCAACACAAGGAGACAGGTGAAGTCCCTGGGATCTTTGATTATCCAGCCTCCAGATCCCTTCCAGGATGACCTCGTGAGCCATGAGTGGTCACGGAGCAATCGCTCAGATGACAAGAAGGAAACGGCCAAGGAGACCAACACTTGGACTTCATGGGGCCAGCCAGAGCAATCCGTGGTGGAAGAGGCTCCTCAGGACCCCGACACCAAACGCGGGCCACCAACTGCCCCCAAACCACGAAAACTGCCACCAAATATTATCCTGAAAACCAGCAAAACCAGCCCAGTGCCGCTCGCCACGGAGCCCGGCCAGAAGGTGAGAGCAACACCTCCCTCCTCAGCCAGCTCTCAGCCCGGCTCTGCCAGCGACATCGCTGCTGAAAGGGCAAATTTGGGGCACCCCGACCCCAAGGACAGGGAGAAAGCCCATCGGGAGGCACTGGAGAAGCTTGGACTGTCACAGGACAGGAGGGAGCCCAGCGCCCACCTTCCTCCCCAGCCAAGGGGGATGCCAGGCCCCGGGCAGCCCGAGGCACGCCGCGGGGCAGCGCCCGGCACCCGGCACATCACCTTCAAATCCAACACCCTGGAGCGCTCGGGCGTGGGGCTGGGCAGCTCCATGGCCAGTGCCAAGGAGCAGAACGCCAAGACCAGCAGC